TTTTCGAATTGATAGACGTGACGGCGGATTCTTGCCCGTATTTAGTACGATAATTTCGTTGAACTTGAGTGTCAGATTTGGTTTCTATAAACCAGGCAACACATTGGGTCTTTTCTTGGGGAGTTGTCATCTTTATCAATTCTTATTTAGTCCTGCAAAGAAAAATTGTTACTATCTTTACATAGAAATTTTCCTACCATAAACGTTATTAGTTGACCTTTCATACGAAAAAACGGTACCTATCTTGCCTTATTAAAAATTTATGAGCAATCAAAGTTGTCAAGGTTTCTTGTGGACACCCTGTATATTGAAACAAAAATTTATTGAAATAACAAAGTTCAAAGTAAATTTTCAAATACGTTACCATCACATTCCGCATATAAGCGTACGTAAATTATTTTTTTTATAATGTAAGTTGTTAAGTGTAGCCTTACTTTCGGCCCACCCTGTATTTATAAATATAAAGAAACATTATTGTCTCAGTCTATCAAGGATGCGACAACTATTGAATAAATAAAATGCCGCTCAAAAATTGTCACTGCAGTAAGGGATTGGGGAGGGGCATAGATTTAAGAAGGTCCGTCGCCGCTTCCAGCAGGGATCACATAGGACGGGGGATATTCCTTTTATCTGAAGCGTTACCCGACATAAACAAAGTGGAGAGGAAAAGAGACGAAAAAAAAAATAGAGAGAAGAAAAGGTGTAACAAAAGTGGTAATTAAAGCGATACAGGTGTGCAGAAAGGTTGGGCGCTAGCGCTCTATTGGAGCCTAATTAGGGGGTGGGGGGAAGACTCAATACTTGTGAGGGGTCTGTATTTTGTTCTGGTCAAAAACCTTAAGGACAATATCAACACCAAGTAACTGAATCCGGGTCGTCTTGTTCTTGTCTGCACGTCTCATTTCATAAGTTATCCCCTCTAGACATCTGTGTTCCTCTCCTAGCGCAAGTGGGATATCTTGTTTGATAAAGGTACTGTTCTTGAGAGTTCTTAAGGTGTAGGAGGATCGCCATCACCATCTCGAGGAAGCTCACCAAGATGGGGCGCTGAGAGGCTTCCCAGGTGGACACCTGGGAAGCCTCTCCCATACATCCATGGTTGTATGGAGATTCCGAGTAGAAAGGGGGTGGATAGCAGGGAATTGCATAGCATCCGCGGAGGTTGCAGGGATTTTCAAAGATTCTCCGGAAGAAAGAACGCACCACGGAGTCTGTGACTTCAGCAGGGGATTCTGGAAGGCCATAGATGATCGAGTATCGTTTCTGCTGAGCTAGTTCCCCAGTTGGAGGTTCTTGGATTCTAGGATGGAGAGTTTTTTCTTCCAATTTGGTGATTATTGGGTATTTTTCCTCAATTGATCCATATCGTCTGACCAGAACTGTAGGCTTCCCTCAAGATTCCACGTTCTCTCCGACAAACCACTGTTCTTTGATTTGATAGCACCCATCTCAGCGAAGAGAGTATCCACACTGTTCCTCGGAGCCACGTTCGAAGAGGTACAGGTCTCCACGGAAGACTAAAGCTTAGCTATTCAAGCCGGGGCAGATTCAGCTGGAAGAGCCGCAACCCCGGAGGCCGATATGGGGGAAATCTTGCTTGAGGCAATAGGCAGCGAGACGATGCTTAGCGCTAAAGGCAAAGAGCATTTTGAAAAAGTCTAGATCGGGAGGGGGGAGGCATCGAAAGGAGACAGCCTCGCTCAATGCTTCTTGTAGGTGTCTTGTGTACTGGAAGCTTGTAGTGGAAATTCACCCAACGTTCTCTGTCCACAGATGATCTTGGATTTTGATTTCTGCCTATATAAGGAAGAGGGTCTCATGGAGGGAAAGGCTCCAACTATCTATCTGATCCCTGCGTGATGGGTGTAAAATGAAAGTTCTGATCTAATTCAAAGGCTGGGGAATGGCACGGAATAGCAAAACTCCACAATCAAGAGAAGAACTTGATGTCGCTCACCATTGCAGTCCAAACGAGGAAATAGTCCACAAAAAAAACAACGAATTCGGGCGACGCGTCTGTAATGTATCACAGCACGAGCGCCATGAGAAACACGTTTGTACACCACAGTGGCGTAAGCAGGAAATCGGCAAGGGGGGGGGGGGGGGGGGGGGGGCAGGTGGACACCCACCCTCATGTTACTCAAGCACAGTGGCGTAGGCAGGAAATCGTCAAGGGGGGGGGGGGGGTTGAGGCCAGGTAGACACCCAACCCTACGCCTAGCTCCACTACCGGGAATTTACCGTTTCAAAGAAATCATGGTCTTGCATCTTGGGTCACTTTCCTCGAAGGGGTATAGTTAAAATTGGAATTCCCAAGGAAAGTTGAAATATGCCTGTCAGTGTCACTGACCGGGAAGCCCAAGGGGGGGGGTTCTAACCCCCTAACCCCCCCCCCCCTTCCCTACACCACTGGTACACCAGGGCAGCGAGGCGAGGAATCCAAATTGAGTAGATTGGAAAATTTGATATACTGTCGAAATCGAGTTCATCTAGCTCCGAGGTCGAATCATAGCAAGAAAAAGCAACTCTCGCAATTATCCGACCGTAAGCACGAAGCACGAAATGCGATGCATTCATTCAAATGGACTGGAAATTTCGCAATGCATTTTCCACCGCCAAAACAGAGTTTATCTAGCTCCGACATCAAAATTGACAAAAACGAAATTGATTTCGAGACCCAGTCCAGGTTTCATTGCGCAGACATGCAACTGGGAATTCGCTAACCGCTAAATTCGCTAACTGCTAACCTGTACGAGCTTCACGCCCTTCATCCGAGTCGTCTTCCTTCTTCCGTTACCCCCCCCCCTCCAAAATATGACGCACTTGAATTTTGGGGATTGGGGGGGGGGGGCCCCAATCCCCAAAATTCAAGTGCGTCATATTTTGCCCTCCAAAAATCTTGCAACACTTGTGCGTGATCGAAATTCCCAGTTCTTATAGCATCATCTGCGAACATTTTTATTACCTCAGACAGCTTAATCGGTTACCTTTGCAAAGCACACACTCATGTCATGATTTGTGCCATCGTTTATCCAAAATTCTCCTCAGAACCGGTCTGGTTTGGATTTTCAGCGTGCAACAATTAAAATCCGTCCCCAACCGATTGTTGGAAAGCCTACATCTCTTCTTGCACGCCATGCGAGAAGCACATTTTCTCTGTGCACCTAAAGGAAAGACTCCTGTCAATGTCCTCAAAAACTCATGCCAGTTTTTTCATTATACAGAATCTCGGTACCTATGGCTTCAAGAGAGAAAAAATAGTTCTTTGGATAACTTATTCTCTTAGCTGTGCAAAGAGGTCAGTATCCTCAGGGTTTTAGCAACCATATTCCAAAAATTTTAATGGAAACAATCTGGTTCGGAATTTCTGCCTGGAACGATGATAGAAACATCACCCATTTATATTCCTTGCGAGCCCGAGGAGTAAACATGGTGCCTAAGTTAGAACAATGGAGAATTGTTTCCCTCAATTTCGAAGCTGCCAGGTCATTTCAGGCCATTTCTCGCCACCTTGTCATAAATATCTGTTGTGAGTAGGACTATTAATCGTTACCGAAAAACCGAGTATTAACCGAGAGTAGGTACTATGATTCTGTATCATGAAAACTGGCAAGAGTTTTGGAGGACAGACAGGAGTCTTCTCCTGAAGGTGCATAGGGAAAATATGCTTCTCACATGGCGTGCAAGAAGAGATGTAGGCTTTCCAACAATCGGTTGGGGATGGATTTTAATTGTTGCACGCTGAAAATCCGAACCAGACGGGTTCTGAGGAGAATTTTGGATAAACGATGGCACAAATCATGACATGAGTGTGTGCTTTGCCAAGGTAACCGATTATTGTCCGAGGTTATAAAAAAGTGTTCGCAGATGATGCTATAGGAGCTGAGAATTTCGATCACGAAAGTGTTGCAAGACTTTTGGAGGGTGGTGCTGTATATGTGCAGGACACTTCCATGTCTTTTTCACTTAACTCAAGCGAGTAACCAAATGTGACTAGTGTGACAAGACTTCAACCTCCCTGAACTCTTCATCTTTGCCGATTTCAAGCCTCGATCTCTGGTCGTTTCCAAATAATATCTCTCTGCAACCCCCCCTACCACCGGAGGAGCAGAACGATGCTATCATGCATCGTGGTTCTTGGGAGGAGGGGGTTCAGACTCCCTGAACTCTCTCCCCTGGGTTGCGCCACTTTGATCGATTTTAGTCTTCTACATCTGGGTTTCTCCTCAAGCATTCGAGCGTTACGTCCCGATGGACTTGCTGGTTCTCCCACTTGACAGGACTTCGGACAATAACCCACTCACTCATTCCACCCTCTTCTCGTTTCTCCTTTCTCTACCCGTCAAGAAGTTTTCTTTAGTCATGTCATTAAGCCCGTTTCAAACGAGGCAATTCTCGATCGTTCTCGCGTATCCTGCTTTTGTAGCCCCCGTTTTACACGGAGCAATTGTTTAGCATATAGGAGAAGCTGAGGGAGGGTGGTGTTGCCATACATATATCATAAGCCGGAGCGCTGTCACCGTAGTATGGACCGCATCATTGCGCGCTCATTAAGCTAGAGCGAGAAGCGGAGAACGGAGTGTGACTTTCACGTGGGGCAATCATTTGTTTTCTCAGCCTTCAAGATCGATCCAGGAGCAACTCCGTTCTCTCTTCTCGTCTTGGTTTTCCCGTTCCACACGTTTCAATCTTTATACGGAAAATTGTCTCGTCTGGCACTTTACCCCACTACCGGGGAATTTGCTGCTTCTATTTACTGTATGTAACGGAACTCTTGGCGGTGTCGGAAGGGGATAAGGGACGGAAGACACACAATGCCATCAGAATAATTAGAAAGCGGCAGCAAGAGGATCCAGAATGTGACACACGGAGAAGGATCCGAAGTCCCTTAACATAACTGGTCATCTAGCTAAGTCTTGTTTATTCCCTCAAAAGTTCCACTTCCTTTTCTTAAAACGATTGATGCAAGACCTCAAGGGACTTGAAATCAAAATTCAAAGTTCAAGGGGGAAAACTCTCAGCCTTTTCATTGGTTCAGAAGTGCGACATACATATGGGAGTCACCAGCACACACTTTCAGTCACTCAGAATGACAATGATGGGAGATCACAGCATGGGTAGGGAATATGTCTTGTCTTCTTTCCATCTCCTCTCTTGTGAGGTTCAGAACTACAAGAGACTAGAAAATCATCTCCACGCCTGGTTGAGAGCCTTGCGAGCTGCCAGGTGTTTGGTTGCATAACAGGCCACCAACAGCCCCAACAGGACGGTGCAAATTAAAGTATGGTCAAAGTCTTCTTTCAGCACATCAAATGTCCTTGATGGAGAAACCCTCGTCAGGAACAGATCTAAGCAGATGCAACAGGTCATTTTTCACATGACTTTTTCCATCATCTTAAACAGGGTTAGGTATCTGCCTCACCAAGTCCCAAGACAAAGGCAAGGCAAGTGGATTCCAGTCCTGTGGGATGAGTATGGATATTCCTGATGCGGGGGATGCTCTGATTGTAGTTGATGATGCTGTCCATTTGAATTGGGAGTTCTGGAATGTAGATGACAAGACCTTCCTCGTGTGCCTCTGCTGTCATTATCAATGGTCGCCTAGGGTCAAGGAAATTCCTGGCCAGTTCTGCCACTGCACCTTGTGGCATCCCAACTGCCACACAAAACAAAGGTACACTTCACCAATACTCCAACTTCTGTCAGAGTATGAGTTTCTTTTTGAGCCAGCAAACCCTCCAGTACCATTCACAAAGTAAAAATACAATTATTTGGGGTTTTGCCTCTGCCGTGTATCATGTGTAGCTAGGATGAAAATATGGATTGGCATCATCTGTATGAGCAGTTCTGATGCACAAGGCTAGGGACTCAAAGGATCTTTCCTGTTGAATTGCACTTACAAACTGATTTCTGATGATCTACATCTACTTTCTACACAAAAGAGGAACAGACTCTTCCTTAAGACAGTGGTACTCAAGCTGCAGGTCATAAGCCACATATGGTCTGTGAAGACCTCGCATGCAGTCAGTAAAAGGCAAAATTTACTATCCATTGAAGAGAAACTTTTTATTAGTATTTGTAAGTTTTTTCTTTCTGTGCAGCCACCTTGGTCATTTCCAGATGCTGCTCCTGGATCAAAGAGTTTGAGTACCACCGATTTTAGGAAAAGAGAGAATTGAGGTTTCCTCAATCTTTCTCCCCCTTCACTCCTAATGTCTGCTCAACTGAACATATTCCAGAATGTTTCACTAGATTGGATGAAGCATTTTTTTTTTAACCTGCATCACATGATGCTTATGATACCAGCTGAGCACAAGTTCTGGTATCAGAATGTCTTCATAGATGTCAAAATCACGTTTGACTCCATTAAAAAATGTCTCCCAGAATGAATCATATCTCTAAAATGTTGGCCTAGCCTTGTTGAAATTCAATACTACCAATGTAAACAAAATTTATTTTTGCAGAAATGAAGTTGTCAAGAGGAAATACCAACCAAGTGCCATCTGAAATACAAACAAAATCTGAAAGACAGGAGCTAGATTATTTTCTGGCAGAGCTGGGGTTGCGATTTATAATGTAACTAAGAAGTCATGGAAAGGAAACTGACTGAGAACATGTTTGCTGGTGATTCCTCTCTCTGTGATGGTCTCTCTCATGGCAGCAATGTTGGTAGTGTAGATGTAACCTTGTTTCTCGATCATGGGATGGTGTTTGCCATACAAAGATGTAAATGCTGCAATTGTCAAGAAAATCAGCATTGATTTGAGTCCATCAGTCAAAAGAATTGAGTAGAAAAATACAAACCAGTGGAATTGTGCTGAGTAGTTCCTTCATACAGTTCCATGGAAGCAACCTCAACTCGACGTAGCTTCTCATTAAAGTAAGAGTAGATGAGCCAATTCTCAAAATGAATCATATGGAGGGGGGGACGAGCACGTTTATGATTGGCAGTTGCCAGGATCCCTCCAGTCACTCCATCCAACAGGTACACATTCAGAGAATCTGGAATTCAAGTAATTGGTATCACCAGGACTAATGGTATGCTTTGGGAGCTAAGGGTGCATTCATATAGTCAGCTGCTGATCAGTGTCTGCTAACATTCCTTTTTTACTTTCTGAATTTGAACCCTACCTAATACCCCTGGTTCACATTGTACAAGATTGAAGAGATTAATGTAATTTTTCAAAAAAAAAAATTTACTCAATTGCTGCATTATATAATAATACTTAGGATCTCTATGTGAGAAAGTAGCATAACCAGAAACTTTTACAAACTAGAGTTTTCTAAACGAAACTGCTACTCAGCAGCTGACTTAATGTACAAGCACCACAACAATAACCCATCACAGCAAAGGGATAACATACATTTGGCAATGCTGTCATAAGAAGTTGTGGCAAGTGCAAAGAGATTAGGATTGAGATACTTGTAGAGGACACTGCGATCCCCAAGGACTCGGCCCTGGGAATGCACTTTTTCCCCCTGACGCTTCTTTGAAATCATTTCAATTCTTTGTGTATTCACAGGAAAATGTACCCTCCAGGCTTCTTTCCCCACTAACCCCTGCAATATCGAATAATACAATAAGTGAAGTGCAAAATCAATGCCAGGAATCAGGGGCAAATATCTATAACAAGGTAGGGTCTGACCTAACCTTGTCAGAAGAATCTCGAAAATGAAAACCCTGAACAGTCCCTGCGTCCACATCTGCCAGATAAACGAATATTGAATCCTTCAAATCTTCAAGGATGGGAGTAGCTGATTCAGGAATGACATGAACTTGGTGAGCCTTGTCCAGAATGAGGATTGGAAAAAGGAATTCAGAATCGTGCTTGTGAAAGAGAGATGCATGAGCAATTGGGGGGAGGACATGAGGCTCTTGATTATAAAGTTCTCCAGATATTGGGTTGAAAGAAACCAATAGTCCTTCTCCTGAGTCCTAGATAACATATGTAGAGATTCAACAATTTGATATGAATTCCATTGACTTGAAGCAAAGAAATCTCATGGATCTCACCTCCTTCCTTCCAATCAGAGTACAAACGGAGAGATGAGGGAAATAGGAGGCTGATCGCTGGAGAAAAAGAATTAATTCAGGGCCTGCTTCACTGACCAAAGGCTTCACACTAGGTAGGAATACCTTCCAAATCAACTTTCCATGTTCACTCGCCATCCCATACACCTATCAATCAGAGATACAAGTGCTACAGAACAAAGAACAAGACTTCTCCCACATTCTTCTGAAACTTTGCACTGTGGGGATGGTTGACACATGTCTCATGAAGCTTACCTTGCCTGGTGCAGTCACAAGAACAATCATCTTGTGAAGGTTGAAGCGATCCCTAACAAGATGGAGTTTTTCCTCAAGAGTTGGAGGAGGCTGAAACCCAAGTATGTGTCTTACAAGAGATTCCAACTGATTCACCTGGCTGCGTATGCGATTCCATAGCATTTTCCATGCACCTAAAAGCAGAAAGTAAATACACTGAAATGATTTGACACTTGGGCTTAACTTGAATGCAGAAGGTGAAGGATGACAGTTTGGAATATGAAGAAAAAATAAAAGCTGACTGGAAGCAGTAGCAAATTCTTCCTCTACAGAAGCATCACTCCTAGTGACAGGTAGGTCAACAAAGTCCACTGCAAGTACAGAGGCCAGTCCATCCTCTCGTTCCCACACTGTCATTCCTAGGTAAGTAAGAAGTTCATAGTTTTCATCCCACTGAAACAAAACTTGTTAATCAGACATTCCTCAGCCTACCTGGGAGTCGCATTAAGGACAGAGCATGATCCTCAGTAACAGTAAGGATCATGGTACTTCCATCTTTGCTATGATGTGGAATATGCATGTCAATCTTTCCATGATGTGGAGCTAAATTCAGGCTTTCACGTTTGATAACCTCTCCACTTTCTCCTATCACTAGGATGCTATTTTCATTCTGAAAAGTAGTAAGGTAGTTGAGGAATGATAACATCCTAATATAAGAGGTAATACACAATAATCTCTTGAGTAGATTTATGATGATGTCCCTGACCTGAAGATCAATAGCAGTCACATAAATATGGTCTCCTGTTGAAAACCCAGCCAATTGGCTGATATTGGTCTTCACCCAAAGAATGCGAGGTCCTGAACCAGAAGTTGTATCATCAGACATCCTCAAAAGATGAACTTTGTCCTGGATCAACACCTGAAAATATGGATGGTTTCTCAAACCATCCACGGGCTTCACATCTAGAAAGAAAGATTTTCCATGGAAATGGAACAGCACATATGCACTAAAAGCCATCAGAATTGGCTGTTGTGTAACATCATATGGACCATTGGTTATCAGCAGATTTTCATGCTGCAAGAACAGCCTGAGCAGTGTGAAAATCTGCTGATACCCCAAGAAAGAGAGGAGCATAAGCACCTGTGAACATGGCCTAGTGGTGGACTTTTTATCTCTTTTCCAAGAAAGGGAATAGGTGTTAATGACCTCTCCTGATATATTATAAATGAAGATTTAAATATTCTTTTGTGTGCTAGACCAGCATCAAACATTGGCATGGATTTCTGCCAACATGAATAAATATGTCTCTGCAATTAAGAGCTGTATCCAATCAAATACCAGCATTAAGCATTGCATCAAAGTTCTACACTCTTTAAAAAAAAAATATATATATATATATACCCACATGAAAATTCCACTATGACAGGGTGTATGATTCTATATGGTTATGTATGATCATATATTTGCCATATACCAGCATATATGTATTCATATATTAACAATTGTATGGTGTAAAACATATTTTATTTGCATTGCAATATTATGTGTGATGGGCAAATGGCATCATGCCTGATATGTGGTGAATATGCATAGACAAGTCTTATGGTTGTAAGTAAAACATAGCATGAGGTCAGTGGTATATTTTGGCTGAAGAGTCAGGGGGGACAGGGCAGCAGAGTGGAGGCACCAAGCCCTGTCCCAGGGATGCCAGGGGGGGCAGCTGCACCCCCCTGCCCCCTCCCAAGAAAATACACCACTGCATGAGGTTGTTACACATGAGGGCAATTGACCTTCAGATGCCTCTGCAACTTATTTTTAATGCACCTATTATATTTTACATGAAATATTAAGTATGCAAAACCCTTAAAGGAATTGTGCCAAAAGTTTGATTTCGAACCCCCCCAGCTTAAAATCCTAGTTGGAAACAGCTATAACAGTTGGACTCCAGTTGGAAATTCAGACCCATTCCAACTGGGTAGCAGCAGGTAGTAAAGTCAGATCCAGATTGTTCCTAATTGCAATACACTGGTAGAATGAGAATGTTTTTGTTGGCTATTCTTGCTGGAGGTTCATCTACAGAAGCAGCTGAATTTCAACTGTAAATTCAGCTATATTTTAACTGGAGGGTTCTCCGCATAAAATTCTAATGGCAAATTTCCAGCTGTAAAACAACCTGTATCTACCTTTTTTTTTTTTTAGCTCTTTGCCAACTGGAAATGGTCAGAATATACAGCCTCTGTCCATCTGGAAAATTCCAGTCAGGATTTCAAACTGGGCCCTACCCTCTCTAGGTAGCATAAGCATATCGCAGATGAAAAAAGTATGGGAGGAGGGAGGGGGCATGGGAACTCTGGGACACTGTTATCATGCATCTTTTCCTTTGTATTAATGTGGTTTTTGTTGTTGCAAAGTGGGAGACACATGCCATGCCATGCCATGCCGTGCTGTGCCTTGCCTTCAATGGATAATTTCAGAAAGAAATACAGTTTCTGTTCCCATCTATCTTCTGAGTTGTCAGTCAAGATGAAAAAGACACTCCTACATGAATAAGCCAAGTTTTGTCATGAAATAGCATTACTGATGAAAATACTTTTGGAGGTTAAAGTCTATAATATTAAAACTTTCACCTTCATTAACCCTTTGAGGAGTGAGTTTTTTTAATGCCAGAAGATCATCCATAGTGAATATATGGAAGGCAGGAGGATGTCAGCCCATATATATATGGGCATACTCGTCAAAGGGTTAACAAGGGTGCATATGTTGAACACCATGAAACATGAGTTCTTGGAGTAATTGACTGTGGTCTATGAACAATTAAAAATGAGTTGATTGCAAGTAAGGTATGGTGACTTGCATATGAATGATCATATAGTATTTGATAGATTTTGGACCCTTTTTGGATACAGGCATATTTCAGGCAATCTCACCATAAATAGATATGACATGGCATATATGGATAGTATATGGTGCATTTGTATGAGCCAATATATGAAAATGTATGGGGTTATATATTTTCCTTCTTATATGATTTTATACAACTTGTATCAAACCCCATACATGTTTCATATATGTTCATATATGAATTGCACAATATGGTCATATATGCCCCATATATGTTTGACTGGTTTAATATATGGCCATTTCATATATGGTCTTATATGAAATTTTCACGTGGGGTTGCAGCCAAGGAATGCCTGGGACCAAGCTCATGGGTATAGCAGAAAACAATTTCCCAAAGCAGCTTTATTGCTAGCACCATGATCATCAAAAAAAGTAAAATTATTATCAATTGCCCCAAAATATGGATTCATGGTTTCAATCAAACAGTGAAAACTAAACTTTACAGGTGATCAGGACCCAATGTATTTTGTTCACATACATGACCACAACTGTTAATCTTGCTCTGTTCCTCAGATAGACCCATTTGGTTATTTTTGATCAGGACAGGGCAATACAGGTCTTCCTCATAAAAAAAAATAAGATACTTTGCATATGCATAATTTAAGCTCTTTGGGGCTACAATTGCATCAAAATCAAACATGAAGCTTCCTGCCTGCCTTTCTACTTAGCTTTTAAAAGAATACATGTTTCCAACCTGCTGTGCATAGTAAGATGAGGCAATCTACAAATCACTCATCAAACAGACATAGAACACCTAATTTTGGAATTCTGTGGGGATATGACAGAAGGCAATAAGTCCTTTGTCGTAATTCTCAGGAGGAAGATGTTTAAATTCCTCTCCACTTCACCTGTTTGATTTTTTATTTTTTATTTTCAAATGTAGTTTTCTCCTAAAGGAACAGGAATTGAACTTATCCCTATTGACCAAAAGATGTATCATGACACATTCTACATGGTGAAGATGTCAGCTCAATTTCACCAAAAGTGAACTTATCTCTTTCTGTCATACCATCACGGAATTAATACAGGATTTCTTGGGTTTTCTGCCTCTATCAATAAATTACATCAAGGCTTACCGATGAATAAAAGCTCATAAAGTATTGTAAGCCCATTGGCTAAATACTACTATAGTTACACCCATAAGTGAGATTCCTCTAAACAGTGTAATCAGGAATCCCAGAGAAAGAAAAAAGTGAAGGGGAAGGTAGGATTACCTGCTAATCCCACAGAGCTGGTGTCACTTATATGCAAAGACTTGAATCCTGTGCGATACGCATCTGTGTCAAGGTGGAAGTATTCCAAAGTTATTCCCTTGCCATCTCCTCGGATGCAGGCAAAAATTCCACCAGCAGTTCCACATCTAGGAAAAAATAGCTTTGCCATAGGCTCCATTGCATTTCAAACAAGTGCATCAGCTTCCTGCAGCCTTTGAACAAAGTACATACTTGGAATTGAGTGATAACCAAGGGGCATGAATTTCCCAATGGCCAGAAGTGCTTGCCTCAACAGATCCTTTCTTATAGCCTTTCACTGAGACACCTTGTGCATCTGTGATGTCAACCAGAAACACCTCTTCTTTTGAAGCATAATAGTGCCTAGAAAATAGATAAAAAGCAGCTGCAAACTATGATAACATCTATAGCACAGCCAACCCTGACATAATGCCACTGCTGATTGTAGGCAAATTTGGCAGATAGAATAAACCTCATAATGAAAGTGGCTACAATACCAAATCTACAAAGGATTAATTGAATAGATGTGAAGCTTATATTACTACCTCCCTCTATTCTAGCACCCTCTGATACTCTAAGCTTTTCCTAATTCCAAGTCTCACAACCTGTTTTGTGATTCACAACAATTCTATGTTCTGGATACATGAAAATATATATGTACTGGATGAGGGTTGTAGCAGGAATGCTACTTGGTACAAAATTTAGGAGGATTTACATGGAAAAAACTGAGTTTGTATAAATAATTGTGCCAGCAAATGGCTGTTTGCAAGGGGTTATAACAGGGAATCACCAATTATAAGCTCAAGGAGAAGATACGTTCTCAAGAAATTACTGGCAGTGAGCAAGGGTGGCAGTACATTGATGGCTTACTGAACTTGCACAGCATTACTTGGTTATTCAGGAGGGTGAAATGAAATTCCTAAAAACATTCGTAAACAGATACTCCCACTCACTGAAAGTGGGTTTCTAAAGTACTTCTGAAAAGACGAGTAGACTCAAGTAGCAATAACTTGCAGTTCCCATTCACTGCTGCAATAAACCATTCAAATAAGACAACAAAGGTTTTTATTTTAGAAGGCCTACCTACCTCTTCAACAAAGACCGTAAAGAAGTTGGGCGGAAGTCTCCATGCCAGAGGAGAGATCCTTTCAATGGAGACCAGCTATGGATGATTCCACCTCTAAACACTGAGATCAACTCTGAATCCACATAAAAAAGGTCATCAAATCCACTGACTGGTTCCTCTTCCAATACTTGTCTCCACTGGATATTGCCTAATTGAAACAAACAAGTTTAGCTGAGGTGATACAGTATGGTATAAAGGTAAGGCTAAGGAGATACACTTTCTCAAATTCTTTTGATTGTACCAAGGTATTGAAGCCAGCTGTTATTGACAAGGTATTTTTATGTTGGGATGGGAGAATACCACAGGTTAGACTAGTAAATTTCATGGAAATATAATAGAAAAATGTTAGGAAATATAAAAGAAAAAGTGAAAAGAAAAGAGTAACCCCTCCAAAAATTCTCAAGCTGAGGCCTATAGTCTTTTCTTTTTAATAACTTGGAATTTCATCTCATGATCAAGGCAAGTTAGTTTCATGCTATTGGAAAAGCATTCACTGCCTTTTTCCTTCAATATGCAAATCATGGCAACTTCTGAAGGCATCTCAATAGGGTGATGGAAAGATGAACAGGCGTGTCCAACTCATTACTTCTTAACTGCTCACTTTTTTTAGATGGTGCATTATTCCAGAATGAATGCAAAAATAAGACAAATTCATGAGAGACCCATGATCCTTAGCAGACTACATCTATGTCTCCTCCACTGTTACATTCAAAACTGTGATGCACCATCCATACATATCCCTTACATGCTAAACAGAATGGATAGACAGATTGACCAGAGGACTGCAAAATGTCTAACCACATCACAACCTCTTCAGCTTAACTTTACAATACCTCCCCACATCCCCAAGGCAACATAAATGTGAGATTTAAAAAAAAATATATATGTATATACTATCACCATCTTCAATTGATGGAGAGGGAGTAGCGGCATTACTTTTATCATATTATTATGGCTGAACCTTGATGCCATTGCCATGGCAATACCATTTTGCATAGCAAAGAGAGTCCTCCAACTTAACTTTTCTCCATTCCATATTACTAATGCTCATAAGTATGCATGTTGCGCAATCACATCATACTTCAAGTCTTCCTTGAGAGATGCTTACCAATTTATTCAAATCCATCACTCTATCTACTAATGCATTTAATTCCCAATGAATGCATTTTTCATCATCTCCCATTGCCTCAAAATTAACCCTATCCATACTCTTCCTCCTCTCCAGTTCAATTGTGAACCTTGCCTTTAACCCTTTGGCTGTGTGACTGAGTACATATTAGGGCTCATATAGTAGTAGCCTGCGTATGTTCTCAGGTTCAGACCATTCACTGTTTCTAGGTTATTTCACAGCTATTTATGCATGTAACTGCGATCTTCAATAGGTATCATATGACATTTTTCTTGCATAAACTATTGTTTCCAGGTAAGCAGTGCCACTTTTTATAACACAGGGTGAATAATAGATTTTTTTTGTATAACAATGCAAGGGTTAAGGACCATAGATGTTTGACCCATTGATGGTGCACTGCTGAAGTGACAGGAAATTAAAAACTTTAGAATATATTTTTAACAAGATTAAATGGTTTCTTGTAGCCAACATGGCCATGCATGATCACTAAAGAACAACTCAGCTTCTTCCATATGAAGTATCTACAAATCAACAACATCAAGTTGGTTTCTTGTGAAATCAACTGCCTAGTCCCTGGGTGATTTTAGAAATTCACATTTTCCCAAATAATGCCTTCTAATCTACCAACCCTCCTCTCTGCAGAACTCTACCTTTTCCTCCTACACTCTAAGTGGGATAACCACCACATACCTTAAAATGGTACAAGGACATTAACCCTTCAATGCATTATATTTTCTTTTTTGGTGAAAAAAATCTGGTAGGTTTCACTCAGGTCCTAGAATATGGGTCAAGTGGAAAAAATTTTTAAAATCAAATTTGTAAGCAGAAGGGCCAAAAATGTTATTGTTGCTCATTTGTAACAAACAGCATTTTCAGCTTTCTAACCCATGCTGCATGGATGCTAGAGAGCTTAGTTAGTCTGTCAACATTTGTACATACCTCAACACAAAAGAAAATGTAAAAATACTATGAGCCTGGACCCTGGATTAGTGTAAAGTTTAAGAAAATTAAATCAAAAACGTCAATCTGCCATTTGACCAAGCCAGATTGGTTTTAATTTGCTTGCCACCTGGAGTGTATGGCACCTAGTGACTGCGTAGTTTCTACACATGAGGATCAGACTGTTACACATCTGCTATGAACAGATTTACTTCAGGAGCTCGCTACCTGCACATTCTAAAAATGTATTTTTTTTTAATGTAGCATATCTGCTGTCATGCATTAAAGGGTCAACACATATACCACATAGGCTATTCAGTTACATTTCGCATAATGGGATCAATGTGTGCACATGACTAAAATGAATAGTAATTTGGGAATTCTTCTGCTCCCTTTTATACTTCTATAAACATGTAATAGGCAACTTCTAAGACAGTGCGTGTTTATGGGATAAAACATCTTGTTTGGAATAATAGGGAAATTAGTTATTTTGTATCAGCAACAATATATATACCAACAAGCTAAATTCATTAATTTAAAATATAAAAAAAGGTTTGTGGTTTTTAGGCAAGGAACATACCATTCTTTGGATCAATCCCAGCGATGACATTTTTCTCTGATGCCACAAAAATGTGGTTTCCATGAGATGAGTGTCCCAATTCAACAAATTTGGCTTTCCCTAAATACTGTTCCACCCTGCAAAGAAATGGGATAATACACATCAGCCTGACTGAGCCATGCCTTTATGTTTAATATAAAGCCTAATATTAGCCTAAAACAACAAGCCTAAAAGCCAATTTTTCTAGTACAGATTAATGTTTCATGCTGTAGTAGTGAGAAATGCAAAGACCACTACTCACCAGTCAAATTTTCCAATCTGATCTTCATACAGAGAAGAAACAAAACCCAAAGTCAGCAGTGTCACTATCAGTCTGCTCAACATGACCTAAGGGAAACTTTGGGTTTATGGTAACAGGTGTTTCCAGTTGAGTTTGGCCCCTCAGATGACTTCAACACTCAAGCATGGAAAGAGTACCGCAGGTTTTGGAGTTGTCTGAAAATATCTCAGACTCAAACTAACTGCACCAGTCAACTCTATGCCTATGCTAAATTCTAAGAAAAACTGAGATATTCTTGTATGGAAAGAAGCTGGGTAAGGGAAAGTGAGATCAGATATAATTTTGCTTCACATGCATAAGTGAAGCAAATTCACATGTGACTACATCTGCCTTGAAAGGGTGCAAAGACAGCTATGAGAAGACAAAATAAAGGAAACCTCTTTAAAATGTTTAGTTCCTCTCTAGCTCACTTCATTCTCACTAGACCAGGATGGAATTTGCTGGAAATGATGTGTGGGCAAAGACATGAGTTTGGGTATGATAGTGATTTTCAAATGATTTCACTCCTTCATCCCTTTTGCATGGTGCCACATGTCATGCAACCTGAATGAAATCTGTCTTATATCAAACAATTCCCACACACTCAATCAAAAATCAATCCAGTAAGTAGCACTGGGGACACCTTTGACAGAAGTGGTTTTTTGGGTCATCTGATGAAGAGGAACCTTGGGAAGTTGTGCTTTGTCTGTTCCCTCTTCTCTACTACTTAGGTGGGAGGGAGGTTAACACGTTGGCGACAATGCGTCCTGATGCCAGGATGCAGATTTTTTTTCAATGAATACCTCTGGAACTGTTGAGAACGTTCCAGAAGATTATGATTTCGTAATTACTGATAAAAATTCAAAAAAATTAAAAATTCAAAAAAAACTCGGCAAAAAAAATGTTTTCTGGGACCATGCGTCCTGATGGCAGGACGCATTTTTTGACAAAAAAAATGCGCATGGTCCCACGCGGCGGACAAGCAAAAATAGGCTGGTCGTCAACGTGTTAATGAAGGAAAAAACTGTATACTAAAAACAATGCAGACCTAATCAACCTGTTAGCTTGACTTCACGATTCATGGGCCTAACGAATCCCGACTCTTGACTGAGTTAGGTCAATCATCAAGGCAATAGGCTCCCCTGCAATCAGGTTTTGTTGTAGCCAAACCATTGTATAAGATGAAATAAGACTTATCATGGACCAGAACACAGTGTGTTGCACATGGTGATGAAATCAGTTCTCTAGCTCCATTTCCTTCAGTACAGGTAGATATACCTTCTATCAATCCTTTTAAGGTTGACTCCAAATAGAATTACATAGAATGTAAAATAATCTTGTCTTGTTATCATTAAATATTGTCATTAGGAACTATTACAAAGTCCTGTTCTATACACAAACAGCAAAGACAGGCATGTCAAGAGCTGCCACAGTCTCAAGTGCTTTGGGATCTTTCTAGATGTCCATTTATCTAAGAAAGTACATAACTCACATTTCTCCATTATTCTAAACCTTCCGATTTTCTGAACCTGAAGAATCTCCTTCCAATAAACCTTGTGCCTAATTTGTGAAACATGTTTATATCCCTAGGAGGCATTCCACACAGATGCTCACACTAAGAACCATGAATCAGTCCATGGCATGGGACTTCAAGAATTAAACATAATTCACCTGAGTACAAAACAAGCCACTTCAATTACCATTTTTGAAGATGTGCATTTTTTTATATTGGGAAAACAACTATTAGGATATGGGATGAGTCTGGTGTTTGCTTTCAACTTCATATAACTAAGCCATGTTATTCTCAACATGTGCTTTTATTTGAACGGGAGTTTGTCATGTCTTCTTGCTCTTTTATGTTTTCTTAGCACTGTCTTTTTAACCCGCACTCCAACACCTAACAATTATATTTATACGCTGCATCGTCGAGATTTATACTTTTACTTTCCTGATCGAATAATTCACACCCTCAGGGCTAGCATCTGCAATATTTCAGTTAGCGACAGATTGCAGGCCTAACCATGAAAATGAAGGCGAGAGAGAGGAAGTGACAGACGAGAGTACAACTTCATTCACGAATCGTGTCAATAACTCATTCATCAGTAATCTTAATCTAGGACTCTAACCTGAAAGTAAAAGAATGCGAATAACTGAGCCCATATTATGCAGGCTTACAAAAGAGAAACTTAGAGAGAATAAGGTAAAATTCTAATCCTAAACCTAAACAGTTACAAGAACCGAGGTAACCGCACGAGTTGAGCCGACAAGACAGAGATAATGTAGATCGCCATGACTCCTCGACGCTGCCATGCCATGTCTCTCACTAATGTCCACTCCCCACGTGTTTCTGCCGGTCTAATGGTAGGTGAAGTGAGCGATCGTCCATTTAAAAATAACGGAGACGCATTTACGGGAATTTTGGAATCCTTTTCAAATATCTACAGGGTGGTAAATAAAAAAGGGAACATCATTCCAAAGGGGATATCTCCGAGACCAGCTGACCTGTACGAAGTGCATTCAGAAAGATACGATATGATAAGGTTACGGGAAGATAGCATTATAGACTTTCACTCAACGGATTTAAATGGAGGCCTAATATTATTAATTTCCTCAATCTACACTGTTTCCGGATTGAATTCGTACCCCCTATAGGAGCGCTTCCATCGACTGCAGGTAGTGACATCTTACATATGGATGGTTTTATCTATCATCTGCTGAGGCGGAACCTCTGGAAATGTGTTTTCCCCATTTTCCACTATAGGGGAGTGGTACGAATTCAATCTGTAAGCAGTGTAAGGGTGGATTTTTGAACAGAGCACTATTCGATAATGCAACTTTATTTACCGAATTTATAATGCATTTTCTCCGAAATAAAGCTGCATTATCGGATAATGCTCTGTTCAAAAATCCACCCTAAGTCTTCTACATGTACAACTGAGGGCAAGTTATATATATATATCCAGGGTGGTCCACAAAGGCCTCCCCAAAAGTAAAAGCTCATTACTCAGGAAGTATACATCCGATTTTAATGAGATATGACTCAAACGATAACCAATTCGATATATTTTTACCGTGGAAAATTTCAGCATTCCATTTTTTTAAAATAGAACGAAGTTACACCATAACAAATGAAAGTACCCATATCGTGCAACTAAAGCCTGTAAATATCACAATACCTTCTGAAATTTGCAATTCATTCGTGGGTTTTTCATGCAACGCGAGAGATTGTCTGTGTTATGGGCGACCTCAGTATCCTGCAGAAGACGAACATTGCCATTTTGTTTGATAAATTGAAGGGAACAAATTTGTGCAGGGAAAATTTGGAAATTTCTTCAGTTTGGGTCCAATTGCCTCAGTTCCTGATGAGATCATGAAGGCAATTCATAAGAGGTTTCTGAACCTGAAGAGAGACATCGGCGTACCTATGACAACCTAGATATGCTGGCTAGAAACAGGCCATTCGAGATGCCTTTGCCACAGTAGGTCTGGAGATGATTGAAAGAATTCTGCTGGCATTCAAAGAGAGACTGCACCAAGTCATTGAAAATTGTGTAAGTCACATTGAACACTAGTGATTTGGTGGCTTTCGTTTGTAAGGATGTAACTTTGTTGAAGTTTCTCATGGAATGCTGAAATTTTCGACAATGAAAATATATTGAATTGGCTATTGTTTGAGTCATATATCATTGAAATCGGATGGATACTTCTTGAGTAATAAGCTTTTACTTTTGAGGAGGCAATTGTGGACCTACCCTGTATATAGCCGATCGTGACTGAGTGAGTGAGTGACTGACGCTAATTCTAACCACGTTCTAGAGAAGTTAGAAATCTGGAACTTGGTACTCGTGCACCTTTTGGGATGCAGGGTTCAGAAATAATTCAGACTTTGGAGGTACATGCCCTGGGGGCATAATTTTGAGGGGTGACGTTTTCAAATAATTTTTTTTTTCCTACCGAATAGGGCAGAAATGTAAAACTGAAAAGTGGCGCACCAATAACTGAGGTGCAGGTGAGTTCAGAAAAAAGGCAAGTTTTGTGGTGCATGCCCTCAGAGTACAGCTTTTGGCTGCATCGCTTTTCCAAATATATTTTTGCATTAGCAAAAAGAGCAAACGGATACGGCTGAAACTTGGTAAGCACGTAGTTCGAGTATTGATATCAGGAAAAAATGTTTATTTCTTGGTAAAACCCCTGAGGGCACATTTATTGCAAAAGGCGCATTTTCGAATCTTTTCTCATCCAATGAAAGAGAGAACTGAAGAAAGTTGAAAGAAGAGGCATTAGACTCTGATTTGCTTTAAAAAAAATTGTGACTGTTGGCATCCAAGACTTATGAAGATGTTCAAAATGTTAGCTCACGGGCTCTAACGGTTTTCAAGATTTCAGGGCACCAGGAAGACATCTCCCACCAGGGTCCCGCACCTGGAGCACATGGCCGCACACAAGTTGTGGGTCGTCTGTGGTGGTAGCCGTGATGGTTCCCTTTTTACCTCTCACAGGGCGTGTTGACTTTCAGGTTAATACATTCCGCCCATCCATTGACAATCCTGGTCAGGAGCCCATGACCTCGGCGCAGTGCCATTACAAGGGGTGTGCGAGTGTAGTGCGGTGTCTCCGCACGGCGCTAAACTGAGGGGAGCACCGATTGGCTGCTGAACTATGACAAAAATACAATTTAAAAATTTTTATGAATTCACCGTAATTGCTTGAAACGAAACTATACAAATTCCACGTTAATTTTTAATTTCAGATGAGAAGTGCGCCCCTAATTCTGATTTTCCAATATGAAATGAAATTTTCCCCCCCCCCCCCCCCCCTCCTACCTCCATGGTACATTTTCTATCAAGAAACGCCCATTAAAAGTTTTAAAAAATTTGACCACAAATCTCTTGTAGTTGAAGCTGAAGGGGCAATCATCCCCCCCAAAAACGTGTTGCGCACAATCGAGGAAATTGGCATATGTTGGCCTTCACTATTACCAAAAGTTTTGCCGTAGTTAAGAAATTTTCGTTAGTGAATATGAATCTGTGAATCGAATGTAATACTTCCATCAATACTGTCATAGATGAGATTTCATTTTGAAAAGTTAAGAGATCACTTTATTCTAGGGCTGTCAATTGATTAGGTTCATTAACCGAATAATCGATTAAATTTGCAATCGTGATTTTTTTTAAACTGTCGAAATTA